CCGTTTCCGCCTCTTCTTGCGCTTCTGGTGCTTGCTGGAGGCCTGAGCGCCCGCCTCGCCCGCGCTGTCCGAGTCCTTGGCGCTGTCCGACGTGAGCGACTCGCAGTTCTGCAGCCGCAGGTCCGACTCACTCTCCACGTAGCGCTCCACCTTGATCTGCATCGGGCCCAGCGTGCTGAAGCCGTCCTCCGCCGCCTTGGGGTTCTCAAAGTCCGAGTGCTCGAAGCTGTCGTCGCTGTCGCGGCTGTCCGGGTTGCTGGAGCTGTGGCCGTCGTCGTTGCAGTTCATGTCGTTGTCGCACGCACTGCCGGACTTCTTCCGGTCAGGCTCCGGGTCTTCGCTGTTCTCCGACTGATTCCCCTTCTCGTCGGACTTGGAGTTCTCGTTGTCCTCTGCGTGGGGTCCGCGGCCGGGTTGGCGGGGGCAGAGAAAGGACACCGCGTTAGCAGGGCAGAATTGGTCTCTCACCTACAAGGGCAGGCAGGGAGGCAGCTGGTTCCCCCCATAAACTGCACCTCCTTCTGGGGACTTCAAGTCTGGGCCTAGATGACGGTTTACTGCACACCAGGGGCAAGTGTAGAATCTCAGGTCCTACCCAGGCTGCTGAGTCAGATTCTGCATCTAAACAAGATTCCCCGGTGATTCTTAGGCCCTCCAATGTTTGAGAAACCTTGCAGAGATACTCAGTAACCCGGAGAAAGGTGTGAGAGATCCAGAAAGATAATGGAATGCTAGGTGACTTTTAAAGAGCTCTGCACCTGCCCCTGCTACTTGTTCATTACTGAAAATGACACTCTCTACTTCTATTATTTTTTCTATAGAATTTATGAATTGCCATCTCTTTCATTGTATGTCTAATTTTTTGTTTGCTTCTGTCTGTTCCACCTGTAGAATAAGCATCATGGGAGTAGGGAATGTTTGTCTTGTTTTGTTTACTGATATAAACTATATAAATAAGGGGCAGAGACTATTCTAGTACTTCTGCCACAGTAAGAACTTTCAAATTAATACAGTGTAGGTGAGAGGAAAACAACCAGGGTCCACCAGGACACCTCTCTCAAGCTGTGTCTGAGGTACGGGTGTTCAGATTGACAGGCCTGGAGTGCGGCAGCCCTGATGGTAGGGGGTTGGTGGGGATCCTTAGCTGCCTGCCACATTCCAGGGGGAATGCATTTTCCCAATCAACACAACCGCAGAAGATTTGGGAATGCTGATTTTTATGGCTTTGAAGGCAGCCTGGAATAGAACTTTGGGCAAATCATGCAGCTACGCATGCCTTCATCTTTCTGTAGCAGGAGAGACTCTGTTACAAAAGACTTGGGATTTTTTTGCAGCTTAAAATTCCAAGTTCTATAGTCCCTGGCTGTCCATGTACTGTGGAAGGAGCTTACTGGAGGAAAAGTAAGCTTTTGTATTAATTTTCTTGTGTTCCAAATAACTACTTAGGAACTCTACTTCCCCAAATAATTAGAAATGAGAAAGCATGGATTCATTCAGCGTACATTCAGGAGACACACAATGGTCTAGCACCCTGACAGAGGTATTTACTGATGTCATCTGGTATCCTACTTTGGGGGTTTGATCCCAGCTTGGTGGAACTATGAACATTCAGGACTCAAAAGTCACTGGCTGTCTCAGAGCAAGCAGAGCTATCCCTAGTCCCTGCTTCAAGTAAAGGTGCCAGAGCTGCTAGGCATGGGGTTGCATCATGGTTCCTTCTGTGTGGTCATACAATATACATATGCATTTGTGTATGCAGAGAGACAGAGAATGAAAGCAACTCTGATAATATGGTCTGGCCAGTTGCTTGGCCTCTGACCATGGCTCTCTGGCCTCTGCCCCCCCTTGTGTTAAGGCAAGCCACAATTACAGAACATGGAGAAGAAGTAATACCTGTAATACCTGAGGTGTCTTTAGAATCTGACTCAGAGTCGGATGTCTCAGAGGATTCGGAAGTTTTCTCCGGCAGATGGGGCAGCTGTGCGATGTCCATGGGTGTGTCCTTGTACTCGGGATTGCTGTGGGAGGGAGGCATATACATCAGGGGTGCAGGCACCCGTTCTGTGTGGTTTGTTCTGAATTATCTTCTGCACTTTCTGGCCCCAGACTTTGAATTTAAAAGACTAAATAGGAAATGATTTCTTTGTTCTTCCTGGGACTTTTACAGAAGCTTGGATTACATGTGCCAGGGTACAGGAGCATCCTGCTAGAATGTCTGAATACCCAAATACTCATGAAAGCTACTAAAAAGCTTTTAAGCAATCAGGTACCGCTGGGGGCCAGGGAACTGTGCTGCTTGATATTCCACCCAGTATAAGACCTTGGGGGCTGGGTGAGAGTTCGCTCCACGATTCATTTCCACCCCTCCTGGTGTGTGCTACCTTTTCTTGGGCTCCTAATGAGTCCATTGCCTCAGTACCTTTGACTTTGCCTCTTCATGTAGCTTCCAAGATCTTCAGATGGCTCCAAAGCAACTGGGGGAGTGCAGAGCCCTTGGTGCCTAACAATTTGACAGAACACAGGTGCACCTTGGGATGCAGGGATTATGGCTACTGAACTGTCAACACACCCATTACAATCACATTTTCATCTACTCATGTGGTGTACACCTGTGGCTTGTTAGCTGGAAATCTGATTGCAGTGGGGAGAGCCCCAGTGTGAGAGAGTCCCCACAGAATGGATCTATCCCCATTTGTGCAAATGTGCTTAATTTTTGTTCTATTTTTAATTCAGAAACAAGCCTCTTCTGGAAAAGAGGGCATGCTTGGTCAATTTAGGCAAGCTGTCTTCTAGAAATGCCACTTCTAGAAAGGCTGATGTCTGAGCACTCCAGGCTCCTATGGACATAAAAGGAGAATATCCTGGCTCAAAATGGGAACTGCCTCTTATGTCCTTCCATGAAGGCCAGCCAAGCAGAGGCTTACAACATATAATTACTGACTTATTTGCTAACCTCTAGTGAAATTCCCATATTAAAGAATCACTGTTTCAGTAACTACTCTAAAACCTCAAAAGTCCCTTGGAGGGTTAATTCACTAAGATGGATTATCAGGCATTTACTCCTTAGTGTGAATTAGCTTCAACAGCAAAGCTCCCTCTAGATAATCAAATAAGACTAATGACAGGAGGATGGACTTAGCACTTTGCAGACTTTAATATTGAGTCTGTAATTCTGTTAAGTGTTATAAGGGAATGGGAAGAAGACTGAGGGGAGCAGTAATTTAAGAATTAGGGAAGGATATGCCTCGATGGGACCCATAAATGAGGGATTCTGAGGAGGAAGAGTGAAAGTATTGCTCAGGGAAGACCAGGAAAAAAAAACAAACCAAACTTCAATAGTTGCCATTTTGCCAAGGAGTTCTTACTAGATCCTCAGTCTATAGAATGACACTGAAGGGCCACAGGCTTGGTGGAGTTTCTTCTGCTAAAGACCATTATTGTGAGTTTCCTTTACTTTCTGTGCAGTGCAGGTTCAAAGGTCACATGTCCACTGAATGCCTTTATCATTAACTTCAGGATAGGTCTTTAGGTCAATTAAAAAATGTCCACCATGCCTGAGAGTGAGCCTGAAGGCTGAAGGTTGGTCTTAGATACCCAAATGGATTCCTTCCTATCTGTGTGGAATTTGATGAAATGCAATTTTCAAATGCTCATAAGCTTATACCCTTTAACTCTAGGCTAGGTCAATGATATTGATCCCACATTGTGTAGACTGTTATTTCCTTACCCTTCTTCCATTTAGGAAGTGCTGAGGCTGATGAGGTAGTAAGAAAGATTCACACAGGAAGAGTAACCCAGAATGGGAGTAATAGCCATCTAGATTACTGCAGTACCCTCTGTTACATCAACATAGGAAACAAACTTTCTAGTCTGTATCTTTGTTGCCAGTGTTTAATTCTTAATAGTCATGTGTCTCCTTGGCACAATATCACTCTGCCTAGTAAAAGAATGTCAAGTGCACAATATTTTTTTCCTGTTTGGCACATGCACTCTTATTTAGTATTACATATAGTTGTTCCATGAAACCCTATGTAAAAGGACTTCTTGATATCAGAACCCATCTTGAGCATGTCACGACCACAGGGGATACTTTGCATGAAAATCAAGCTTCAGAGAAAACCACATTAAATACACATACTTTTTACCTTTAGAGAGAATTAATATAGAGCAGAAGAGGTCAAAAAAGGAAAAAGAAAGTAGATAAATGAAGACTCGTTTAAGTGGTGCCCATTAAGGCCCTCTCTAGAGCAATAATCATTAGTGTCTGATTGATATGCTGTTGGAAGCAAGCACACTCATGCCTTCAAGTCATCACCAAAGTATGAGACACTGAGGGCCCTGTGTGCTGATGAGCCATGGTTGTTAGCATTCTCAGCTCCATTTGGCTGTCTCAAAGAAAAATGGGGTTCAAGTTGAAATTATCAGCCAAAGGGTACGAGCTTCCAGTTGTTAGACCTATTGGAAGTTTTCCTGCTCAGACCACATGTGGACTCTGCCTGGTAGCTTTAGGACAACAGAAATGAGTGGAATGACATGGTAGGAGGGGACCAAACCAAGTATTGTGGTAGCTTCATGACAGGAATACAGGAGAACTTCCCAGAAGGCTTGTTCCCAACTCAGGCCATCCTGTCAGCTGGTGTTGGTTACTTTTCTGCTTGTTTGAATGTAACAGCAGAAAGTAGACGAGAAGGGAGAGGGAAGATGTCTTACACCAGAAGTTAGGAGGTAACTGAGCTTGGACTGAAGTGGACATAAAAACTGGAGGACATTTTAAGAGCAATAAAGCTGGCCTGGGATCACAGAGCAGTAAGAAAAAAAAAAATACTGTCTTTATTTTTTATGCCGAGATTGTCATTATTCTGGCAAAGCAACTGACTTTGTTTACCAAAACCTTAATGCCTAGAAAATTAAACCTCACAGAATAGGCTGACTGCCTCACAGGGGTGAACCGCAACAGGAATGTGATGTACCTTGCTCCCCCTCCCCTCCTTTTACTTAACAGTTATAAGGAGAGTGCGAGTGCAAGTGTGGTGGGGATAAGGACATGCTTTTTGAATGCTTCAACTGTAGGCAAAAGACCACATTCTTTTTCTGGCCTGAGCATTTGTGAAGAAACCAGAGCAGTTTCTACACAGTTGCCCAAATGTTGACAAATGAGGATTAACTGAAAATCTTGCAAGTCTTGCAAGTCCCTTTCAACAGGTTGATCTCATATCTTTCAGTCTTGTAGAAAGAAGAGTAGAATTTTCATGACATTCCACACCAGGGACTGTCACAAGACAGAACTCATAACATGTCAGGTATTAACCATAGGGCTGCATATTTAATAAGTGAGACAGAAATAAAAAGAATCAGAAAATATACCTAAGAAGATAATTCACCCAGATGATGTTCTTTTCATTGGCATTCTTGGCATTAATTGCTATGGTGGCACTGGACTGTATCCAAATGTAGCCTCCATTCTTCTGCATCCAGCGATAGTACTTCGTCACACACTGACCCTTGTTCAGCACTGGGGAGGAAGAAAAGCAAGTGCATTTTATTAAGACTGGGGTCAAATGATTTTTGTTTCTGCAAAACTTCAGCAGTAGGTCCTGCACTACGCTAAGGGTATGTTCAGTGCAGGATGCCATCAGGAGGGCAAATGAAATAATCACTTCAGTGAAGCCAGGTCACTCGCATTTGTAGCAAGACTTTATTCTGTTTTGGGCAGCCATGGTGTGAGAGGAAGGATAAAAAGACTACAAATCTTTTTGGCTCGCACCTAATGTGATGTGAATATTGTCAATGGCTTTGACGTCAGACAGTAAGAAAGCAAATTTGTATGTGATTTATTCATAGCTTCAAGGTAGCCCTCCTTGAGATTCTGGATATTTGAATGGTTCCGAAGATGCTTTGCTCCTCTGTCTTTGATCATTTCTCCTCAGTGAGAGCAATATCAACCGCAGTCCTAACACATCTGTTCCTTTTGATCTTGTCTAACAGAATTTATAGTCCTTGGATGAACGAAATTTACATTGGTCAGTCAGGGGGAATTCTGGTGTGACTGCTGAATGTTGGAACAAAATAAATCCTCGAATCGAATAAGAAAGAAATGCTGGCCTAAGGGAGGCACAGAATTGACTTGGAGAGAGCCAAACAGAGTGACAGCTCCATACAGACTCTAAAATATGGCTCAAAATGAAGGAACAAGTAAAAACAATCAGTAATGTGAAACGGTGCCATTAAATACCCACAGAAAGAGAGCTTTAAAATGCAGATGTTAAAAATGATACTTTAACCAAAATCTTGCCAAGCTGAAATTGATTTGATTTGTATCTGGGTACTCCTGAGCTAGTAAAAGGGGAAAGTGCAGTAAATCATGCGGTGAAATAAAGTGCTATGGATGGGGATGGTTTAAAGGGATGCCGGAAATGTGCAAAAGCTGCTGTATCTCCGGCCACTCTGCATACCCCCCAGCTCAGCACCCAGCTGGTCACTAGAGGGCAGTGTGCACTCGTCTACGCGGCCTACGTTTGGCATGTCCTTGTCTCCGTCTGCTAAAATGAAAAACCTCTAACTGCTGTAATAAATTTGGCTAAATTAGCTGCTAAATGGTTATCTCAAGTAATATGTATTTGCATTAATCATCTTGCTCTAAACCAGAACAAGCCAGAGTCCTAAAGACGTAGTAAATTCATATTGTCCATTTAATTACGGCTAATAAGTGCTTCATATACAATAGTTTCATGAAGTACATTTTGATTTTTTTTTTTTGGGTGGGCGTGGATGGATAAAAGGGAGTCACTTTGGAAAAGAGCTGTGTTCAGGCTGTTGAAACTCTACCTATCGTGTCCTCGGCCATTCTTCCTGCCCCTGAAAGTGATCACAGTTCACATTTCCACATATTATAAACATACATGCTTTGATGCTTTTCTCCCTTTCTCCTTTTTTTCTCACAGTATGCTAAATGGATGGTTGTAAAACTTAATAATCATATCTTCACTGTTGCTTGAAAAATCCTTGCTCTGATGAGTGTTTGAAATTGTGGCAAGTTCCATTCTGAAAGAACGGAATAATTTGGGGTATTGTTAAGGTCTGGGAACTGTCACCTTCTCTTAGAGGCAAGGCTCCACAGGTAGCGCTGTACTCTCCTTCTGTGGGCAGTTGTAAGTTCTGCCATTCTTCATGCATGGCTTCCCGTGGTACAAGACTGCATGGTGAAGCTGATAGCGGTAAAATACTAACTCCGCCATACAGCTGTTCTGTCAAACCATCATTGCATGCAGACAGGATGTGCTTTTATTCAAACCCTCTCAACCTGTTTAACTATTAATTGGGGAATGATGGGCTACATAATTCTGTCCACTCTTCTCACAGAGAAAACACAACGCTCCAGTCAGGGATCACTGCTATCCTTCCATCTGCTTTGTATCTGGGATAAAGGATCCCAGGTTAGTAGAAGCAAAGAGACGAAGAAGCCCCTTTGTAAAATCACAAGAAGAAAGCAGTGAGATCGTGGCTGGATCACATCAGCCTTGTTGAAGGTTCTGGACTGAGAAGTGACCAAAACTTGGAAAAATTTGTTTAAAATCTCCAGAATACAGAAAGTGGCAGAGAAATAAAGGAATTAGACATTGCAGAATCAACACAAAGATCACCTGACTTTCTAGTACATTTTTTCTTAAATTAGGTAGCAAAATCCCAGCTCTTAAGATGGAGAGCACAAAACATCTGCCTCCCTGGTGGTGCTCAGGTGTGTGCTGGAAAAGGGGCTGAAAGGCTTTTTTGCTAAAGGGCTGGTATGGTGTTGTCTTTGTGAGACGAAGCAGGATGACTTGGTCTGCTTAAATACATCTCTGTTTTCTGGGAAACTAAACACTGACTGATTAGGCCCATGAATACATTAATGAAAATCTTTATCAAACCTGAACTAGATTATCAAAACTGGACTAAGGGCCATCTAGCAAAGAGAGGAGACCTAAAAGGAGGAGAGGCAGGACGGGGGAGTTTTGATGTGAGGAGGTAGTCGTAGAAGGACTGAAGAGCAAGGGCACGAGGCGGTTTCCAGAGAGCTATGTGATTATCTTTGGCAAATACTGAGAAGCAGGTTCCAGAGCCCATCATGGGCAGCTGAAAAACTCAAGTTTGAACAAACCCACAATTGTTCCCTGTCTGACCAACAATTTTCAAAAGACAAACATTTTAATGTGGCCTTAGATCATGGCTTTTTCTTCAATATGAGTGTTTTCTGAATGAAATTCCTAGCATAACTGGGAAGCTAGATAACTACAGGTAAAGTATGAGGTTAGCTCTCACTAAAGCATAATATATATATTGCCCAAGTTGCTTTCAGGTTTTAGGAGGTCTCAAAAAGATCACAAATACAATCTTACTTCTTTTAAAATGAACAAGAAAGAACTTTTGCTTGGGTCTCCAGAATATAAATTGATGACTCTGGGATGAAGCTTATTTCTTGGGAAAAAAAAAATCATACTGGCAAATCAGTTGGATCATTCCAGCTGTGCCAGAGGCAGGATCTGACAGCTTTTCCTGAGCTCATGTGGTCCTAATCAGCTCAAGAAGAAAAGCCACCTTGGTGCCAGTTTGAAAGAGATTTTTAGTGTGTAATAAATTAGAGAACTTGAAAAAAAAAAACCACACACAAAACTTTTTGATTCCCTGTAATCCAGTGGCTTGTTGTTTTTATTTTCAAGTTTTAGGCTTAGAGAGCAGAGAGAAATGAGATGTTTGTGACAGGCTACCCACACAGTCCCTTTTGAAGAGAAAAACAAATAAGCACAATACAAGTTAACCTGATATGGATCCTTCAAAAGATTTAATTGTACCTTGAAAAGAAATAGGGGCTCATCAATGCAAGGAGTAAATTTACAACCATGTGCACCAACTATAAGGGAAAGAAGCAGAGGGAGGGGAACTATATGCGTGGGTCATATTCATACTATCACTTCCATGACACATAGGCCAAGGCTTCTGAAATGTAACTTGGCTTCTTCTCTTTGGTTTATTTCAAAGCTTACTTTCTGTTGTCCAAAATTCTTGGTGGAGCAGCCTCTGTGTTTTTCAATGGATTTTACTAATCACATCATAATATGTCTAGAGTTATCTTTAACGGTGTGTGATAGGAATTAGTTTTTACTTAATGGTCTCAAAAATTAAAATGTCCTTTTAGATTTCACAAGGTAAACATAAAGACATAGGGAAGATAAATAGTATTTGTAAGTTCGCTTAGAATTTTGAATAGGCCAGATGTGACTGTCACAAAAACATGCTCCTATTTCTTTGAAGCCCAGGATGTAACCAATTGCTTTTGGCTGTTAGTACTCTAAGAAAAACTAAGATTCTGTCCTCAGCACCCTCCACCCTTCAAGCAGAAGGTGTCTTTTAAGTTATAGTCTGTGTTGTTCAAAGGATGGAGGTGACCTTGCAGTTGGGAGGATACAGTAGAGACAAACAAAAATTAAACTCTTCCTGGTTGAGCCAGCTCTGCTCATCTGACAATCAGAGAACCATGAGTAAAGCATCTCTTTGGCTGTAAGTCAAAACACAACCCATCCCTAACTGCGAAGGGAGTGGCAAATATAGTTCAATCAAAATAAAATTGCAATGTGCTTACATTTTAGGACATGTGACCTTTACATCAAATATACAACCTCTCCAAAAAATGAAGACTGGATGCTAAATTTTATTGAATATCCTTTCTAAAATGTCACCTGGTCTCTCTGTTCAAGCTTAGTGGTTGGCATTCAAGAAATGTTCTGCTTGTAGAGAGTAATTACTCTCCCTCCAAACATGATGACACCATGAGCTTTTTTTTGCTGTAGTGCACATCCATGGACTGGCACACAGTTACCAACAAGGGATTTCAGTTTGCCTTGGGAAAACTGTCCACAGACATAGACTGATGGCTGAAAGGACATAAAGGCAGCCAGTGTCTGTGGCAGGAACATAACTCTGTTAGTAAATCAAAACAAATCAGTACAAGTTTGCCTTCAGAAATATGAAGAAAAAAAGGGAGCATGGTCCCTTCCTGTTGGACTGTTCCACAAAATCAAAGCCAAAGAGTCTAAATAGTGAGTTGGTTGTGTCTAAAATGAAGGAAGCAGTGGAATGCAGTCTGAAGAGGAGATGAAGAACACATATCAAAAGCGGTCTTTTAGCAAACTGTCTCACAAAAGGACATTTTAGTGGTTTGCATATGCATTAAAAAGCTGCAATACTTGGTGTATTCAGGTAAGTATAGAATAGGAAATGGTGAGCTCATCGGAGAGGCCACACTTCTCATTCACACAGCTGAACAAAGAGCTTCATTGTCGTCAGACGACAGGAGGCCGCATCTGTAGCGCCATTCACCCTGTCTCGGGAGCTACCTTCTTAGGGCTGCCGGAGCCTGGGGACGGGGGCGCATGCCTTCTGCTGGAGACTCCAAAATTATTTTTGAATTCACTAAAGTGGAGAGTGTAAAAGTGTGTGTGTTTAAGTACGGGGGTGTGCTAGAATCCCACTTTCTAC